GAATTCTGGGAGTTGAAGTCCACTCATCTTAAAGTCGCCAAGTTTGGACAACACTGCCCTAACAGAAGCCCAATTATGATTTTCCCTACAAAAGTCTCTCCAGCAGAGCATCATTATTGTGACCTCTCTGGCTGGCTGTTGGAATGTGCTGTCGCTGCCACCAGGTTTGCTGACCTAGACAAAAAAATAATTGAAGGGCCACAGCTCGGCGGTGCTGTACATGCCTTGCACCTCCAAGGCGATGGGTTAAGCTCGTCTACCCCCATGATCTAAGAGACTTCAGTCCAAACTTTTAGAGAGTTCCTGCCATGATGGTAAACCTCACTGAGACGTCATGAACCAGATGAATGAAGGGGCTAATTCAGCCTCAAGTAATCTGTTCATGTTCAGCCTGCCTCCTTGCACATGGAAAACTCACACACATGGAGTTCAGCAGCCTGGAATTTTCCTCTCTGTTTGGCTAGTTTTGAATAAGCAACCTTTAACCCAAAAAGTCAAAAATGGAGGGAAGCATTCAGAAAAGAAATAGGACAGGATTCTGCACCTTACAGACCAATCGAGCGATGTATTTCTCTCCCTGAATCGATTCGGATGCGTGAGAAAGCCCTTTCTTTTGAATAATGCCAAGCTCTCAGGACCACCTTTTGTATGCCCACCTAAACAATGTGGCTGAGTTGCAGCCCAAATGGTTCCCTTCCCTTGACTAGAGCCAGCACCTAAAAAAACAAAAACCCCAAACAACCTCCCTTCTACTGCTCTCAATCCTTCCTTCTTACCATCACCCACCCCCTGGTGCTCCCTGGAGCAAGTCAGGTCTGGCAGGAAGAATCTCATTTTTCTCCCCATGCAGAGTTTATTAAAGTTCCTTTATACCCTGCTGCACCTTCCTCATCAAATTGCAGAAGCTTTGGGAGAACAGATGCTTTTTGATTCCAACTCCAGGAACTGCTTTTATTTCTTCCCTATTTTTCTCTAGTTGACACCTTCCTTTACAAGCCAGTGCATTTCAAAGGCAAGTGTATATACAAGAGTATATACCTTGGCTGCAAAGACAGGCAGGAAGGGAAAAAAAAAAATTAACTCCTTCTTCTCCAGCCTGCCTGTTTCCTTTCCACATGCATCTGCTTTTTCCCAGCCAGCATTAAATTTACTACTCCTACTACTTATTTTAGAAAGAAGGCAATTTGCTGAATGTAGGGCTTAGTAATTGCCGTTCAACTCTATGGGACTGATAGCCAAGTCACCATTCAGATGACTGCACAGTTAATCTTGATTTCCGTAGTGAGACATCTGATCTTTTCTTTCTGCCTCTTGGTGGAAAAAGCAAACCTGTGCTTAGCTGGAGTTCTGTAAACTTGGACGGCTTCCTATCATATAAACAGCGAAGAAGATGAAACAACTGAGTTGCCTTCAGTTCTCTCTTTAATCTAACCTCCAAGTCCCCATTCAGCTTGGCTTTTGGGGGACCAAAGACACAGGAGCACAGACACTTAAGAGGATGAGCCGGACGGTGAGAGAGGCACTTCCTGATTACCGACATTAAAACAGCTTGCTTTTTCCTCATGTTTCCTATTGAGGCAAAATCTACTAAGCAGGTTATTTTGATTTGTTGTTCAGCAACTGAACCCATCCAACTTTTTCTCCATGGGGTCCTAGGTAAAATTAAGAAGATGGTTTTGATATCCTGGTATGTGGAGTCTTTACCTCTAGGTACTGAAAATGCCCACTCAGACTGCTAGTTGCTTGAAGAATCAATATTATCTACTGAAGTCGTACTTACACATTCCCCGCAACCTCTGTTCAGGATTAAAGTATTGGCAAATGGGCAATGTTTCCTGGTTGGAAGCAATGAGTACTTCCAAATATTTTTAAAGAGAAACCCTGCGGAGATGGTCTATCTCTCCATCTTCTGAAACTCGCGTCCGTCCACCAGTAAGAAGGGAAATTCTACTCACCAACTTCAAACCTTCTTTGGCCTTTCCTGAGATTGGCCAGCCTCTCCAAGAGAAAAGCAGAGATTTCTCCTTTGTGGCAGGTCTCCTGAAATCTTAAGAGTTTAAGCCATGAAACTTTCTCCTTGTCCTGCATGAAAAAAGCACCGGAGGAGTCCGGCTCATGGCACTGTAATGAGATGCCTTATTTTGTGTGAGCAATAGGGTGTGGTCTAATTTTCTTGAGTTGTGCAAGGAGAAAGGAATTCTCTCTGTGTGGTGGAAGGGGGGGGGGGAGCTGATTCAGATTTTCATTTGGCTGGTTTTACAACCAATCTGGTTATACCTCTCTTAGGTCTTGGGTAAGGAGATCCCCTCCCTTTCCAAAATCAGTGTTTCCTCCCCTCCCCTTTTGTTCTCCTGTTTGAATTTGGGATATCCCAAGCAAGTCTCTTAGCTCATGACACAAACTGGAAGCTAAGACAACTGGCTCTGGCAATTGTGACACAATGTGGAAGGAACTGATTAATGTAGGGGTGTCCCCAGAGGAACTGATTATCAATGTGACACAGTGATAAAGATGTTAAACAAGAAGTGGGAAGATCCAGGTTCTAGATCACCCTCAGCCACAGATGGTCTCGGGGTGACTCTAGGCCAATCCATCAATCCATCCTTCTCAGCCCAAGAGCCAGTCTGGTCCAGTGGTGAAGGTGTTGGACTACCAGTAGGGAGACCTTCCTCACCCATTGAAACTCCCTACAGGACTCTGAGCCTGTCTCTGTACCTCAGCCCAACCCTACCTCTCAGGGTTGTTGCTGTTGTTGTTGTGAAAGAATGGGGAGAGAAAGCATTGCATATGCCATCTTGAGCTCTTGGGGGAAAAACACAGAAGGAGGCTGTACAGCCTGCAAAGCAGCAAATCAATAAATGCATTCTATTGCGACCAGAGATGGAAACAGTAAAGGACAAAGGAGGGGAATAAAGAAGAGAAATAAGTATAGAGAAGAGATTAATGGGAGTAAATATTTGACTTATTGAAGTACTCTTAGGACTGCATTGATCAAGGTCTGTAAGGCATGTTTGGGCTCACACAACACACCCAAGCAAATCAAAGTAGCAGTAGCAACTTGATTGGTCCAACATGAGACGCTTGGCTAGATGTTACTTTTTTGCTGGTAGGTTGGGATAGCCTAGCTCTTTTGGCTACGTTGTGGTACCATGTTTCATACAATCCCAGAAAATGGGTTAATTCACTAACGAGGGGAAACCTTAGGTGTGAATGCAGCTAAAGACGGCTTTAATCCAGACCCAACATTCCAGTTTTGGTCACTGCATGACACTTTGAGGAGGAAACAGGTCAGTATTTACAAACTATTCATCTGGGTTGGGATGGATAGCAGACCCTCAACTGTGACCTTGTGTAGGCTGGTGTGATATCCATTTCATTTCCCAGAGGGACATGGTTTATGACAGCACTTGCGTCTTCTTCTGTTAAAGAACAGAAGTTGGAGAAATGGTCAGAGGCATCTGTGAGGAGTGGGGGTGTAACAAAAACAAGATGGCAGCTGCAACACATGGAAAAAGGGATGGGGCTTAGATCACATGGGTGTGACTGCCCCCTTGAATTTTTTGATCCCTTGGACAAGCCTGGTAACAGCCCTTTTATTTAGTTCAACTGGAGAGCTGGTTTTGATTTGGAAGATGTCCTGACTGCTCAGCTGTGTGGTACATGGAAGGGAGCCTTCTCCAGCGTGACCCCCAAGCTATGGAATACACTCTGGGAGAGGGGGTGCATTTGGCTTCCCCTCCCCCCATATTTAGGAAAATGACTGTATATTGGTCAAACTTTATTTCCTTGTTATGTTTTATATTTGGGGTCTTTGAATGGTTGCCAGTTGCTCTGAGGGTATTTATTTATTCAGAAAAGTTGTATGCCCGTCCATCTCAACTCTCGGTAGCTAGCAACCAATTTATAAAAGAACCCCCATAACCATAATATTAAAAATAATCCAGTACCAAAGAAAACTGAGGCACCTTACAACAAATTCGCAAAACAAGCCCACGTATGTGGAGCTCCCCAAACATCCCACCCCTAACGCCTGAGGATAAAACCAGGTCTTAAGGGCCTTCTGGAAGGCCAAGGGGGTCTGTTTACAAACTGAGAGGCGGTATATAAATCCTGTAATAACAAGCCAACAAATAAATGAGCCAATCTTGGCTCCACCCACATAATGTACCATGGTAAGGGCCTGCCCACTTCTCATTCATGCCCTCTCCATGGGGACTCTGCAGGATTCAATCACCAAATGATTCCCAGCTTTGCTATAATTGATGGCTGGTGCATGGTATGGTCCCTTGGGCTCATCTCTCCTCTGCTAAGGGATCAGAACATGGAGGCTCTTCCTTCTGGCTTTCTAGATACCTGTGCAAAAACCAAAGACCTACCGTCCCTCCCTAGGTAGGGACACAAAAAGTCCCAGAAGTCCTGAAAAAGGCCGTATGGGTCTTCTGTTGCCCTTGTTCTATCCTCTTCCAAAAATCTTTGCAAGGCTGTCAGGAGCCTGAGTGCCCCTCAGAAACCATCTTTCTCTCAAGTCATTGTTTTGTCTCTGTTCTTTTGAAGTTGTGGCCTCTCCTTGTAAGTCCGTGTTGAGCTACTACAATGCACGTGTAGGAACCGATAGAGGATTAAAGTGTGGTAATGCCTGATGTTCTGAGACCTGGGGCAAAAAGGAGATGTGACTAATAATGCATTGCTCAAGATGCATTTTGGTGTTGTCTGTGTCCCCCCACAAAACAAGCATCCAAATCTTCCCAAAAGAAGTTTCAGTCCAAAGTTACAGTGTGGGCTTTGTACCCCCATGTGCAAATCACAAATGGCGAGCGAGGCAGTTAAAAAGCCAAAGAGAGGGCAAAGCAATTCTGAATCCTTCAAAGCCAAGATAGAAGACCAAAGAGAAATTGGAGATGACTTGGAAGTTGTGGCATTTACTCCAAACAAAGCAAAACATGGTAGTATTTTTTTTTTTAAATCAAATTCACTCCTCTCCTCTTGGCAAAAACAGTAAGAAGTGTAGAAAAAGAACATCCAACTGTTTAAAGGTCTCGTGGAGCAGAAAAAGTACTCTCAAGCAACATATGCTTGTTTCATAACATTACCTGTGGCGTGGCTCTACTTGTGACGTTATATTATTGGCTGCCCCTGGGTAGTATTTACCTGCTATTTTTCTTGGATGTCGCCCAGATGTCTTGGCTGAGAACACTTATTTAGGTCTGCAGAAAAATAAAAGGAAGGAGAAAAAAAAAAAAGCAGGTGAGTTAAAAGCTTCTGGAGCCTCTAGGAACGATGATCATACTTTTGTACAGGAGCGGCATTCTTGTTGCTCACATATTTCCTCTATTAATGAAATCAAAATGGAATTTCTCAGAAAAGTGCCAGTGTCTGATAGTGCCTGTCTGATTGTAAGCTTCTGCCCTGTTTGTAAAACCCACGAGGGAAAGTCTTTAAAGTGAGAAAAAGGATCCTGATCCTACAGGGTTACCGTCTATTTAACCCATCAAAAAACTCAGAGAATAGCTTGACTTTTGGGTGGCTTTTACTGTCTGTCTTTTGTTAAATAGATCTAAAGGGAGTGAAGCGGCCTGAAGTCTCTTTGAAGGTTCTTCACATTGCCCTCTTTTGCCTTTCCATCCTGTGCTGAACTCCGAACCCCTGTATCATCTGAGCAATTTGTCAAAACCTTAGCAATGTCCTGGAATCCAGATATCAGTTTCTGTCTTCCTTGCTTTGCCTTCTTTGCATTGTTCCTACATCTTTGATTTAGCATTAAATCAACCTGGGATTTTCTTGGAATTATGGGAAATTATCCAAGACTAGTTTTCATACCTCTTACCTAGCATCATTACTGCTCGGCTGCCTAACTTGAATTTCCACTGATCAAATTCTCCTTTCCTTCCGTTGACTCAATATCTTTAGCATCTCCCCAAAGGAGAACCATTCGTCTCAAGAATATTAGGTAGGAATTCTCAGTGTTGTAATTCCATATATTTTGAGAGAACTAGGCTGGGGTAAGACTGAGTTATCCATTTAAATTCTCTGTTTTCTCATTTTTCTTTCTCTACTTTCTCTCTTGAGTTCTCTAAATGTCTCATTATTGCCTGCCCTGGTTCTCTGTTTCAGGGACCAGCAACTGAACTTCAGCTTGTCCAGAGTCAACTCTCGTTTTATTTCCTTAGACCTCCTTCCACACTACATTTGTGGAATGTTATTTTCTCCTTTCTCCCTCTTTCCAGTTTCAGTTATTTGCAATAATAGGCCCGCCCATAGAGGAATCAACACTTTTGGGGGTTGTTTTTGTAACATGAAGGAGGGTATCTCTTTGCCCTTGCGAGACATAAACATATCTTTTGAATCTGAATGTTTAAAAAGTATGTAAGTGTATTGATGTCTGGGTACATTAATTTGTTTGGTTGAGCTATTCTGTAACATTTGGGAGTCTTAACGAGGTTTTGAGCTATTTATTTCCCAAAGTAGACATAGTTTTCCAGGTTAGTGAAACACAGTGTATGTAGGTGAGTTTCATATGCTTGCGAACAGAGAATACTAAAAATATGGGTATTTTGCTATTAAATGCTGTACCTAGATGGCCAAGGAACTCAGCAATGGATAGTCAATATTGCTTATGATACTCCACAAAACCTCCAGGCCTCTCTAGAGAACAAGCATCAGTGAGATGGCTTTTGATTCAAGATAGAAGCAGATGGTACCCTTTTTACAGATTTCACAACTCTATCTATCTATCTATCTATCTATCTATCTATCTATCTATCTATCTATCTATCTATCTATCTATCAGAAATTGCTACAGCGCTACCCTACTCTGACTTGAATTTTCTATTCACAGATATAAGCAAAAAATGAAGGTCTTCACTAAATGCATCTTAGCCACAACCTAGCTAACCGTTACTGAAGTAGTTCCTAAAACAGGCCTGTTAAAAAAAGGTAGGAAAGCTTGAAATCTTTGTAGGTACCACCGTATTAAGAGATGATTTATTGAACGTTGCCTTTTGAACACTGCCTGTCCAGTTGCTTTTTCCAGCAAGACCGTTGTGAAATTCAAGTCTCCCCTAATCCAGCTTGTCTCCCAATGACAGCAGCACCAGAGGTGGGTGGATG